AATGAAGCAGATGAACCAGAACCATGAAGCAGAAGCCAATGAGACGGAGACCAGTACGGAAGAAGATACGAAGATACGTCCCGTAAAATTAAAGGACTTTGTTGAATTGTAATTTTGTGTTTGTAATTCTGTACATTTTAATTAAGTTATTGTTATTGGTTTATCATATGTGGTTATTGTTCGGGACGAACAATATTAAGGAGGGGGCAGTGTTGCGTCAGCGAGTCACATGACCACCGTGACGCCACGTTTCTAGAACTATCCTGTGCTTTGGCGAATGCTCTAGTAATTACTAGATATAGGGTAGGCTGGTATATAAAAGAGGGGAAGGTAATGTGTGGATAGACAGTGAGTAATTGATCTGCAGTCAGAAGTATTATTGAGCACGTTCGTCGTAATAGCGTTTGTTTAGCGCGATTGTTGAAGTTGAGTGTATCGGTAAAGTTGTATTCGGAAAGAATAAACCAGTTTTTATTAAGAAAGAACTTGTGTCGCTTAAGTTTCGTCGGAACAAAGTTACGGAAAATCAATTGACAAACGGAGACGTAACAATAGTTTATAATTAAAATGTTAATATTATATGTGTTAATTCCAAAAGAAAGTATTTAAATATATTCCCAGTCTTCATATGGCATTTCTTTGCTCCAAGTTGCACTTTTTTTTCTATCTCTATATTAGGCCTAATTCCATTGTAACATGGTCTTTACTGTCTGATGAAGTGTGTCTGCTTGGAACATTACAGAAAAGAAACTAGAAAAAGTTTTCATTTAGATATATCAATTTATTCTTTATTATCATTTATCCAAGTTTTTCTTTTCACATCTTGCAGAACAATACTCATTCAAAAATAGATTTTTGTTTGTATTTTTCTAGGATCCTGTCTTGTTTACTGGTCCTATGAGAAGAAACATTGACCCTTTCAATGAAAATGATAATCATGAACTCTGGCAAGTTTTAGAAGAGGTAAAATATTTCAGTTTTTATTACAAGCTACAAAATTCAATGACTCAGAAGTAGTGTTCCTGTTATAGTGTAAATAACAGGTGAAATTATTCATAACCATTCAGCACATCTATCCATGTTCAAATCTAGTTCATTTTTTTTTTATCTCCTGACATATGGGTAACTCAAAGTGCAGATTCACAACCTTTTTTACAAAGTTACATTCAAAATTTATAGTTTATGATTCAAATTTTAATATTATATGTTATAATTTTAAAAGAAAATATTTAATTAAATTCTTATGCAGTTTTCAGGTGAAAATCCTTTGCTTCGAGTTGTGCATTTTTTTATTCCTATTTTATTTTCTAAGTTACTGTTAGATATCCCCAAGCTAAAATGAAACTTATAGAGACTATTCTTTTTCCTTTAATGACTTACATACCATAAACTGAAGCTCATATGTATTCTCCAGAACATTTTATCTTTAAAAAATCTGAATAATTCTTTGACATTTGCTATTGGATTTCTTATAACTGATAGAAGAAAAAAAGATTTTAATTTACTGATTTTCTTATGATATTAGCTCATTCTCATGATTGATTTAAGAGGCTCAAATTCAAAAACTAGGAGGAATTAGAGGACAAACAAACAAACTTCTCTCAAATTATAGTAGGATTTCATTTTTTTATGGTGGCTTCATAGTTTCACATCTGTTTTCTTTTCCTTTTTTATTGGACTGGTGGCCTCCAACAAAAGCAGTATATCACAACAGTGTGTAATTAGCCAACTGTGTTGAGCAAAGCATATGCTCTGTGTGTTGATCTGTGTAAAACTAAAAATTCCATGTTTTCACTAAGTTAGTCATTCAAATAGAAATTCATGTTCCTTTCAAGTATGCATTTTACAACAGAAAAAAATATATCAAGCACTAGAATAGAATGTCTCAAAACTACAGTACTTTAACTTGCTTTCTAATTAAGCTATAGGTAGGTTAAAAGAATTCTGTTAGCTGCTTAAAGCTGAACAAAACAATTACATATAAAGAAATTGAGGCAAATTGTCTAGTATGCTTGCCAATAAGAAATAACTGTAACAAGATTTATATAGAAAAGAAAACGTTTTTCTCTATCTGTTATAAACATGCCCATCAAATATGGACACATGGTTTAGATAAATTTCTTCAAAGCTATAATAAAGTAGGAGGAGCTTTACGAGTTCAATAAATTTATTTACATTTAGCAAAACAAAAAAGCCTAGGGTGTTAAAATTTTGTATATTGGCTCGTCAATGTTTACAGTTTTTATTTCTAATTGATTGGTCACTCTGAAAGCCATGTAAATGACAAAAGAATATATAAAATGGAGTATTCAACGAGGAAATGTATTACATGACACAGAAAATTTACTTAAATATTTCCTCTTGAAATTGGGAAATTAAAATTCAGATAATATAAAACTTTGAAATGTAAACTACATTTTTGTGTCATGTTTATTAACATACATTGATAATAAAGTTGATAAATTATGTTTTGATTGTAACTGTGTAAAGGGTCATGACATGTGCACTTTGACTTACATGAGTGTATAGGATTAACAGAATGTAAAAAGATTCTTTGAATCAGTAGGAGAAATACACTTTTTAACAGAAAGTCAAAAATATTATTTGACTTACATAAGTGTATAAGGTTAACAGAAGGTAAAAAGATTATTTGAATCATCTGAGAAATACACTTTCTAAAAGAAAGGCAAAATTATTAGTTGGATCAGTGTGATAAAATGCCCAAATGATGACATTTTTTTAGTGCATTTTAGGTAAACTAAAAACTTGCATTGCAGTTGCCAAACATTTCAAATTATGCATCATTAAAATCAGTTAGATATTAAATAAGACATAAGGATCTTGAACATTAACTAACATAAGAGGAGGGGTCATCATCTGTGACAATACATTCACATATATTATTATAAATTTTTAATGACCATAACATTCTGCATTAATATATCATATACTGAACTAAAATCTGCCACTTGTAAGTAAAATTAAGGGGACTATTTGTGATGAAAGTAGGATGGTAAATTGTAAACTGCATGATTTGATAATTTTAATATAGTTGTAATCTATATAGTACTAAAACTCTGAGATTGTTTGTGTGTTTGCTTGTCTGTAATTAGATACAGCAAACACGGTGCACAATAGCACCATATTTGTAATGAAATGAGAATAGAAATGGAATAAAACACGTTTTGTTAAAATCGGGCCATGGGTTACCGAGTTAGCCCCGTTTTTCGGGTCACTTTTGTGAAAATTTCTAGCATGAGTAATTTTACATCACACTACCGTTCGCACTCTTTACGAAACTTCTTCGTTCAAATATATTTTCCTGTCAATGTTCCCATCTTCATTAAAAGGTGTAAGATGACAAAAACAAGATCTTGAAGAATTTCTCAATAATGTGCATTGGTTATGGTAGGCAATTCAAAGAAAAAATAAAATGTTACTGTTTCTTATTTGTAGAAGGTTTAAGAGGAAAGACCACAAAATAATGAACTAATTCATCACAATACCTGAAAATTCTGACTTCACTTTTTTGAAAAATGAAATTGTCTTTCCTTTTACTCCCGAGCAACAATCAAATATCTTTTCTTGAATTATGAATAACACGAAAGGATTGAAATATTTAATTAAATTATCTCAAAATAAACCTTCATTTCGGTGCAATATTGAAATTAGCTTGAATTCTTCATAACCTCTGAATAGTGGGTGACCCAATGGGTCACGGGTTGTTTAGTAGTGCATAAAACTGTTCAACTGTGTGAAATTGTATCCTGTTCATCGTACAGTTGTGTGTTTGTAAGGCCTTGAATTTATAAACTTACACATTATGTCTATAACAAATGTGGTGCATTAGTTTCTATGATGCAGTAAATTGTCACAGGTTCAACTAAAAGAAGTAGTAGAAGATCTTCCAGGAGGACTGGACACAGAACTAGCTGAAGGAGGAAGTAACTTTAGTGTTGGACAGCGTCAGCTCATCTGTTTAGCTCGAGCCTTGCTCAGAAAAAATCGGATTCTAGTTCTGGATGAAGCAACTGCTAACGTTGATCCAAGGTAGGGTTTCATAAATATAAAACTTTTAAAACAGAATTAGAATGACTTCTATTATACAGACAATTATCTTTTAGAAAAATGGAAACAATTTAATGCAAGCAGTTTTATATTTTTGTGGTAATCTCCTGTAACGAACTAACTAGTATATTTTGGTGTTTAATCTCTTTCATTAACATTTCATTTGTTTCTGTGTATTTGAGAATGATCTCTTCACACACACAAGAAAATGTCTGGAACATCATAAAATCTTATTAGTAAAACTTTTGTTAAATTCTGTAGCAATGAAACAATTTATTGTATAAGCATATTTGTGTATTTCAGTGTTTGTCAAGATTTCAGGCTTACTTTATTGTAAATTTTTATATTTTTAATATTCTTTTAGCACGGATACTCTTATTCAGAAAACTATCAGAGAGAAGTTCAAACAATGCACTGTTTTGACCATTGCTCATCGATTACATACTATTATGGATTCAGATAGAGTTTTGGTAAGTATTCAAGAAAAAAAGGGACTATTTCCAAACTTATTGTTGAGATTTTCACTTAAAAGTTTGTCTTGGTGCCTTAAGTTGTCAATTGTGTTATATAGTACTTACAAGCACGTTTATGCAGAAAAAGTGTAATGATATTTTTAACATCCCTTTGGGTTAATAAGCTGGATATTGTCTACTGGTTAGCATGTCAGACTGCAGATCAAAAGATCTGGGATTTGAGATGTGATGCCACTGAATGCACTTCACACTTTCAACTAAGGGCATATTACAAAAGTAATAGCCATTTCCACTGTTAGGTTCAAATCTGGACAAAGGTCTTGTGTTGGCAGATGCTGCTGGCTAGCTTCTTTCTGGCAGGTCAATTATGTCTCTGATCTGGCTGTTTAGTTCATATGGGAATAAAGTGCTATTCAGATTGAAAGTTCCAATTCTTGTTGGTTAATTTTTTAATCTAAGTTACATATTAAACTCTATGATGAAGCTGCTAAGAAGTGAATGAAATTATATTCTTTATAAACAAAATTAAGTGCAGATACTCTGTTCAAACCTAGAAAGTTTTCTTTGTAGCAACATAGTAACAGATATTTAAACTCATTAATTAAGTAACAACAAACAAACAAACATGATTTTGGTCTAGACAATATCCATATGGATTCAGAACAAAACACCAATACATTCAAGTATTAATACCATTTTTCCTTTAGATCAAGGAACTATTTGAAAGTTCCAGTACCAGTGTTTTGTTATTTATTCAGTCCAGTTTTTGTTGAATGTATTTTTTTATCCATATAAAACACAGTTAGATGTAGGTTTTATTGATTATGCCTGTGATTTATTCATAAAGGATTTTTGTACATGAGTTTGAATGAGACAAGGCAGTGATACATTTAAAGTTTGACTGTGTGATGGGTTTAGAAAAAGGTTTCACAAATATTAAAGCTGCTATGTGTGACTGATTTAGATAAAAATAAAGTGGATTTTATTTTCAGTTTAAAGTTGCTCTTCATTTATTTCTATGTGACATGAATTGTATGTGATTTAAAAGATTACCAATTACCAGAAGCGGCTTATTTTCCTCCTTAAGTTTCAAGAACTTTATACTTCTACAATGAAATAACTTTTGTACATCATGATATGCTCTAAGGAAATATCTTTCCTGTCAGGTTTTGGAGGCAGGTAGAATTGAAGAGTTTGATGAACCATATACATTAATGAAGAATGAATCTGGCTGGTTTAGTCAAATGGTGAACCACACAGGATATTCTATGGCTGCACAGTTACATTCTGTAGCCTACCAAGCTCACCTAGCCAGAGCTGTGGACCATAAACTTGAAACTGATTCTAGAGCTGAGCAAGAAGAAGAAAGTTTTGAAACTTCAAGAATAGAGACTCAAGAGGTAAAGAATGTTGTTAGTGTTGAAGAAGATCAAAAATCATGCAATGATGTTGATGCTGTAGGTCAACATGATGAAAAGAAGACAAAGACAGAAAGTGAAAATGTAGGACCATATAGTGATACTGGTGTAGTATTGATTGTGCCTAACTCTTGTAATGATGCTGATATAACTATAAGATTATAAGTCCTATATTCTAATGTCTTAATTTGTGGCATTGATATTAGATGTTATTTGTGTTTATTTTACCATGCCAAGTTGTTCCCACTGATTCTCAAAAAGCCATTCAGTGCAGTTAATAGGTACTGAAAAATAAAACACAGTTGTAATTGGATATTGGCTTTTATATCATGACAACAATGACTATAGTTGTAGTCTTATGATATAGTACAGTACTCTGTTAAACTATAATAAGGTAAGCCTTTGACTGCTTCTAAGCAGACACTTTTAAGGTGACCTAACATGCAGCCATTTGAAACACTTATAATACATTTGTTGAAAAGCTTATATTGTACACATTATATGTATATGTCTGTGTTGTTGTTACCAAAATTATTTTTGGAAAACCATATAGGTTAAGTAATGAATAACAATAAGTTTCAATACCAGTGGAAAATAATCAAGTAAAAAACTTTTAAACAAATCAAAGTTAAAAATTAACAAAACTGTTTAACTCAAAAGCACAATTTAATGCTATTTATTGAAGATTTGTGTGAATGATGGCCACACACTGTTTGACTTTAGTCTTTTCTTGATTGGTGTTCAAGCATTTAAGTAAGCTGGCATTTCAAGTTTTGGTCATGTTATATTAATTGCTTATCAATAAGAAAAGCAGAACTTAGATTTCTGCTAAGGTACATTACCTTCTCTCACATAAATAGCTATTCTCATTCAGTGCTGCCCTCTATATGCAACAAAACATTTTTGCACATGCCACAAGTCTTGAATCTCCCACATCTGGAATTGACTGATTCCAATGTGTTTCACATATAACAACCCTCCACTGAAAATATTCCTGCAGAATACTGCAACCTGAAGCCAGTGTAAATGTGTGAAGAGAACATATAACCTCAGAAGCAGTAATGTAGAATTTATAATGCAAAATGAATAACTAAACACAACTGTGTTGGCAGAAACAAAGAAAAAGTTTTTGTAATGAAGTAATTAGTTCTGTAACCGGCTAGAAATATAAAATAACTCAACAAATTACAAATATCACTATTGTATAATAAAGAATAAACTTGTTGAGAGAAATTAATACAAAGACACAGAAAAAATAAAACATTAAAGAGAGCACAAACTAAACATTAGAACATGAGTACTGCCAAATGAAAAGTGACAGTTCAGAATAAAGGGAGTCACATGTGTCAAGAGAGTATATTGCAGTCTTATTGGCTTTACTTCATCAGGAAATTGATCATCCAAGGAGCTGATATTTGTCAGGCTTTGCCTCAAGTAGGGGGCCCACACATTTTGACATACAATCTGCGGACTTTGGAAAGATAAGATGTTTTATTGTTATGGTTTTTATAATACTTTTAATATTATCATCTGTAGTTATTGGAGTTTTCTAATAAAAGTTTTGTTACTTTAGTCGATACTTGTAGTCCAGTTTAGGTTAGAAATCGGGCTAAGTTGTAACCTTTCTCCTATACTACTGATACTAGGGGTCTTTGTTATTTTAGAATTACCTGTAATTCATCAATCATTCGTTTAACTATATTGTTTTTCTTTAATACATCACGTCTTATACATAGGTTAATGTTCATACACACTTACTTCATTTTCATTATTATACTTATTGTTAGGTTAAGATTTTTATTTTAGAGCTTAGTGATATTCTTTGTCCTGCACTGCTCTATTAGGCTTAACACCTGTCTGTTATTTTCGGTTTACTTGTAGTTCTACTTGAGGATTATCGCTAATTACGTTTAACATCTTGTTAGCTTAATCATAACAAGTGTCTGTTAATTTCTTTACATTCATTTCGTTTAATTTATAATTTATACATCTTACCCATAATTTCGTTTGTGTGGGGCCCCTACCTGCTCACAGTATTACTCACCTTCCTCCTGTAATGGCTGAACCCATTGCATTCCAGGCTTCTACTGCAGAATCTACCTATCTCCATTTTTTGTTTTGTTTTAGATATGTTTCATAGTACATTCCCTCCTTCTGACACTGTTTCTATGACCTTTTTGTCTCTTTTGAGATTGGGTACTTGCAAGCCTTGCCATGTAAAGGCTTTAATTCTTTTTGCTTTAGCTTACCATCAGGCAAATTTTCTTTCTAGTTTCGGATCTCTGTTACTCCTTTCCCTTTTCTCCCCTACCTAGTTTTTCAGTTTCATTTCACCCTATATACTCTTCTATGGGTAATGTTTACTTTGCACTTCCTATCTTTAGGAATTTTTGTAGGATACCTCCTCCTCCTCTAACCCCATGTTGGGGGGTTTGCCAGTTTCTATTCTTTCCTTCTACATGTAGCTTCTTTCCTTTTGGGAACTTCTTGGGTGGGACACTGCTGATTGTTTCCCATCCACTGCTAATAGGGACTTACAGTCAGTTTTTTCTCCGCCGGTCCATTTTTTGGGAGCTTGTCCTGTACATTTAGCATTGCATGGGGGTATCTGCCATGCTATATTGAATTTTTTTGTTTCATTCCAAGCTATTGTCATCTTTATTCTTTTTTTACATGTCCAGCAATTTTCTGTCCTTTACCTGTCCTACGTATGGGTTTTCTCCATTAGTCTTGTATGCTTGATGCTGTTTGGGGTTCTGGATCAATCGGTCCCACCTTAATTATTTCTTGGGTTTTCTTCATTTTCATACGTAGTCTTTGATCACATTTGGGTTTGCTATTTCTGCATGCTGGGGTATGCCCACATTATACATTCTTAATTTCCATTTGTGGGATGGTTTTATTGGGTTTTTAACAAATGATTTGGTCCCAGTTATGTGCCTTGCCCTTTGGACTTGTCTTGTACCATATCTGTTTTATGGGGTGGTCTGCATTTTACCAAACTTCCACTTTTTGGGGGTAATTTTACCTACACTATTCATTGGATGTATAGCTTTGATTAGCTACTTCCAAATGAGGTAGTCTTCATATACTCCTTTCACAATCAGCTAGGGTTGTTGGATTTTCCAATTGGGTGTGTTTTTCATTTTCCATACCTCACATTCTTGTCTCTTTGGAGTGGGTATTTTTACATGCCCCTCTGTAGGGACCATCCATTGATTTTCCTCCAAATTTTCTTCTTTCCCTCTTCTTATCTATGAGTTGATAGATTTTCACATCCCCTATGATGTCGGGTTTCATTCCCCTCTTCCGGATTGTTTCTCTTCTATGATACTCATCTCCATTGGTTGGGGATGTGGTTCGATCTATAGGAGGCTTCAGGACAATGGTCTCCAGGCGAAAGGTCTTATTTCCTTCACACCCTAGCACTTCGTCCAGTCCAATGTGCTTTCATTCACTTTTTTCATTTTGTCCAGCTTTGACTAATCATTTTTCTTTTTGACTATTCGATGGTGGTGGCTTCTATCTTTCACCAAGGCAACATTCTCTCTTGTTCCTTTTGTGCTAGACAGTGGATCTCCCTTTTTGAACCCACGCACTTCACATGCGTCTCTGGAAGGTCATGTTCCAAGTTTTTGTCCTCGTTGCTTATTGCCTTTCCAGTCTTGTCACATTTTCTCCATAGGAGTGACCCCTCCGTTCTCCACATTTTTGATTGATCAATTTTCAAGTACTTCCTTTTGTTTTTGGCTTCTAGTTCATCATCCCCTTGCCCTGGCTGTTGATATGTTCAGACAGGATAACATCCAGTTTCACACGTTAGTTTTTCTCCTTCCATCAGTTTTTTTTCCCCAAAATGTTTGTTCATCCATGCCACTCTGGTTCAGGTCTTTCTAATTGATTTCCTGGTCGGCACAAATTTGGGTTTCTATGCTGTTTCGGCTCAATTGTTTACTTTGTTCTGGATCATTTTTATTTACCTCTATTTCATGGCTCATGTGGTATATTCCTTTTGAGTTTTCCATTTCTTACCATCTTCCACATTTCTTCTCGATTGGTTCCAGATGACCTCCTTGTCGGTCCTGTACATGCTTTGGGTTGCTTCATTATTTTTTAAGATTATTCTGTTGAACCCATCTTCCATGATTTCCTCTCCTTACTCCACTGCTTTGTCTGTGATTTTTTTTCCTTCCTCTCTAACCCATTGTGCTTGGATTGTGATTAGATTGGCCTTTTATTCCTTGTATCCTTCTTCCCATCATCAATTCCTCATGTACTCTCTCAGATCATGCACCTTCCTTTTCCCTGCATATCCAAACTGTCATCCATTGGAAGTACTTTGTCTGTTGAGCACTGGGACTACTCCTCATACGTTCATCTCCCAATCTGTTTCTTTCTTGTCGAGGTACTGTCATCCACCTGTTGCCATCCTTATTCTTTCATGAAACTGTGACTGAGTAAGTTACCTTTTCATATTTACATACAACTTATTTTCAGGGCATCTCCTTCTCTTTTTCTTTATGGATCCCGCTCTGTGGTGAGAGGGAGTTACATGCATCAAGATAATATGTCGCACTCTTATTGGTGGAAGGTTGTTGCAAAATGCATTGGAATCAGTCAATTCCAGATATGGAAGATTCAAGGCTTTTGGCATGAGGAAAAATATGGTGTTGCATATAGAGGGCAGTACTAAACAAGAATAGCTATTTATATGAGTGGAGGTAAGTACCTATCAGAAATACATTTTCAGTATAGGAAAATTATAATGTTATCATGTGTTTATTCTGTAATTTTTCTATTACATTAAATTGCATATACACAGCAGGTTTCCCCAAACTTTTGACATATTGATGGTATCAGTCTCTTTATCATTACTGCTAGTTTGCCTCGTGATCATTATCACAGACTTGCGTATGCCTTAGTGCTTTGTCACTTTAACTGCCTAATAATTGGGAATTGCTTCAGAAAAAATGTTTGTAGTATACACAAAATCTGAAAATCATTAAATTAAAAAAAAATTCTCCTAGGCTTTTGAAAGACTTAACATCTTTTTTTTGTAAAATAAGTTACACAAGTGAAGGAGAAATCGATTTTTAAAACTCTCGTATATTTAACTATTGTACAACATTCTTAATGAAACATCATTGACACTTATGTGCTGCTAGCCTACAAAACATTTTTTTTTCATGTTGGTCTTACTTTGTTTCTTGTTTTCTCTTTTCCAGTCAAGAAGGATCAGTTTGTATTTTTGAGAGTTGCTCTGAATTAAACACTTGTACATATTCCTGTAAAAAGTAAAATGACTGGTGTCATAATAATTACCGTAAACATTTTAATTAAGGCAGCAGACTTTTAATATGGTAAATGTCACATTTT